TTAAAACTGTGCAGAGAAATTTACTGAAAGTAAATTACCTCAAAATTATCCATAGAAAATAGTTACCGGTATATGAAGCAGCACTAGCCAAATAGCAGTAACACAATAACTGTATTTACTGTACTGGCAAAACCGGACAAAGCTAACGCTTGCACTTTCCATTTGCGAAATGTTAATCACAGGAACAGTTAAAAATCTAATGTCACCATAAAGTTACCCAGATTTTCCACCAAAAGTCTTATTCAAACCTCTTGACAGTATTCTATATTTCTCTGAAAATGCTAACCAATTTGAAACATCATTTTGCTTTTCTAGTTAACAAATTTCCCAAGCTTAAGCCCAGCCCCAGAGGAAAGAGTGCACTTCCCATAATGACCTCTATGGGGAAGTTCTGCAAAAAAGTGTATCTGTCGCTTTCTTCAGGCTTTATAAAAAGGTAAAGATCTCACAAACTGAGGTATGAATGAAATGAATGAAACTTTATTGCACACTCCCAAAAATGGGTTTTTCAGTGAACAGTAGCATGTAAATACAATAAAAATACAATAAAAAATACAATAAAAATAAAACGAATTAAACAGTGTAACACTATTTCATTGTTTCAAAACCTCGTCAAGCATCTTTGCTTTAAGATTTTTCGTAAAGTTTACTGAACCTTTGCACAGTTTTAAATCTTTATCTAATGAATTCCATAAGTTTACTATCCGGTATTGAAATATGTCCTCTGACCACCCGCATTTTACATAAAGGAATGTCAAGTTGTCGTGAGTTTCTTGTTTTGCAGTCAGATATCTGTCCTCTTGTTACAAACTTTGACGTCAGGTAAGTCGGGGCACAGCCCGTCATACACATAAATGCAAAGAAATGAAGCTGCGTTTTTACGTGCAGCCACCCCAAGTTTTTGAGTGATGGAGTTATGTGTTCAAATTTCCTTGCACCAACAATAATCCAAGCAGCGAAGTTCTGGATGAGTTGTAGTTTTTGCACATTATGGGTGGAGGTGTTAGACCAGACTGAAGAGTGGTACAATCCACTAAAAACAAGTGCATTTATGATGGTCACTAATAGGTTGGGGTTAAATGTGTGCTTTGCTCAATTAATCTGAGCTAATTTACCCATGCAAGATGAAACTGTCACTGAGATGTGTTTATCCAATCACAGAGTGGGGTCAAAAGTTATATTGAGATCTTTGATGGACTCTGATGGCACTAGGTCCTTTCTGAGCAGAGAAAGCTTGAAATCGGATAATCTGCGAATCATCGGGCGGCTGCCAAAGGCCATGAGCTTGTCTTTTCAGGGTTGAGCAGAGGAAGATTGTCAAAACACCAGTTAGGGATTAAATATAAATCATTATGAATAATGTCTCTCACTAACAGCTGGTAAGTCATTTACATAGATATTGAACAAAAGAGCCCGGAGTACACTNAGCTCTGGACGCTGCAATTCTGTGGTGCTGAAGGGACTGCCTTGAGGGACGCCACAGACAACAGGTAGTGTGTCCTTAATTTTGGGCATCCATGTTACAGTTAATTGCAGCTGTCAAAACAAGCTATCCACTGACCAGTATCACGTGACTACATCACAGGTGCAGGTTTAGAGCTCATCGACCACTGACCAGGGACTGCTTTTTTTTTCCACTGGATTGCGGGCTCAAGCCAGGTTATCACTTTGGGGGAGAAGCAGGGAGTACAAGCAAAGGCAAAATTTTGGTGCAAATTAACCCCTGGCACGTTTTTGACGTTTCTTCCTACATGTACATATTCCTTGAACAATCTCTCATCAGTTTGTTTAAATTTAACTGGAAAAGATAGTGAAACCACATGCTGAACAATTACATGCTCACATTTGATCCTTTTTTCTGATCCAAGAAACCCTCTTTTTTCTTTCTGGTTAGTTTTCGCAAACAGGAGCTCCTCTTTTAGGCTTGGCTAAATCTATATTACAATGTATGTTTCTTAGCAAGAGCTTGAATAATGAGATTATCACACCATGTACATGTACGTTATTGTGACCAATTTGTTAGATATTCTATTCTGGAATCCTCAATTTTGCATTCAATAATCCTCATTGAGCAAACACCTAAAGCTCTAATATTCCAATGAAATGTAGGTCGGACCACCATATAATTGGTGTGCAACATTTCGAAAAAACGGTCACCACCACTCAGGAATTCTGGATGGTTCCCTGCCTTTGGAATGCAAAAGTCAATTAAATTTTGATTTTTTACAAAGCTTTCTGACAGTCAGGCTGTACATACATGTAGTAGTTGATGACTCATTTGAACATACATGTACTTTATTTCAATTACATTTAGAAATTAATAAAAGTTACTTAAATAATGCATAAAAAAACAACTAGAGAGACAAAGAAAACAGAAAATGTTAACATTTGTATTTCTTTAAGGCTGCTGTGATTAAGGGAATATCAATATAATCATCATGCTGTTTTAGGATATCAATCAGAAAGCAATCAAGTTCAGCTTTAAACTGGTTTTAGCTTTAAAAATCTAACATATCACAGTTATCTGGAGTAGTTGTTTCGTGTCTTTCACAAGAACTTTGGTACAGATTCAGCACAGCTTTCATACCAGTAGTTTAAGAAGTTTCAATATCGCGGTTCTGTTCTCTGGAACAGCTTGCTTTTGAGTGCTAAGATACAGCCCACTCTTAGCTCTTTTAAATCTTTTATATAATTACGATTAAATCATGATAGCTATAATTATAGAGGAAAGGTTTTTTTATAGTTTTTAGTATAATTCTCTCAAGATAACATTATTAGCGGAGCTCCAGCGGCCCAAAGGGCCGCCAAGCGGAGCCCCATACTCATATAGGAAAGAAAAGGAAACCCACGAGTTGATTTTCTCATGGTTATCATGGCTAGCGGTATTGCTTGTGGGCACGTATGCACAACGGCGACGGAGACGGCGACAGTGACGATGACAGAGTCGTGCAACATGGCGGCCATACTCCAAATAATAGGTTGACAGAGATATGCACCCTTGCTTTACCGTGAACTTCTTTGATATTGGACATCAATGTTATGATCAATTGACATCTGTCAAAACAAGGTATCCGCTGACCAGTATCATGTGACCATATCGCAGGCTCAAGTTTACAGGTCATCGAGGTCACGCGTTTTTTGAAGTTGACCGCTGACCAAGTGCTGGTTTTCGATTGAATTGCGGGCTCATGTCAGATCAACTTGTTGAAAACAGGGCAGGATTGTTCGGAAGGCGGTTAATGCTAACCCAGGATTAAAAGTTAACCAAATTATAACTTTTTCTTCTATACAAACGTTTTTTGCTGCTTTGTTTTGTGTATATGGTGATTATTAAAACTCAAAACAGAAGGCCAAACAATATACAGAAAACCTCACCGCAAAGTTGAAAACTCAAATCAAAATTCTACCTTTTCCTGGGTTAGCTTACTCGGGCTCTGAACAACCCGGCCCTGGAGCTACGCTTTTAGGCTGGCCTAAATCTATATGTTAATTCAGTTACATTACATAATTTAATTAGTTTAGTAAGTATGGCTTGATGGAGGAGCATGTATCACTGTATGTGAATTGACACTGTGGATAAATAAACAATACCCACCTACCTCAATCACTACAAGTTTAGTAGTTAGATTATCACAACATAGTAACTCTACATTCCTACAAAGAGGCTCATTATCCCACATTGGAGCTCAATGTTCCTCCAAAGGGGCTCAATAATTCCACAATGGGGCACAATATTCCTCCAGAGAGGTTTTCCTCATACAATGCTGAAAGTGCTTCCAAAATTATGAAGTGTTTATCAGCAAGAGTTGTTTATAATTTAAGTTATTTAAAATCAGTATGTGTTGGTAAATCAAGTTGGAATACTCAATACCATAGAAATTTGTTTAGATCAACCTAAAAGTGACAAATCCTCTCACAACCTTTTGTCCGATCAGTTGGAAACAAAATATGAAAGCTGTGAGCAGCAAATGTTGTAAAATCTTAAAAAACTCACCTCAATTTTGAAGAAAACTTCCAGTAGCTGAGACCAAAGGAGGCAGCCGAGATTTTTGTTTGCCATAGATGACTATCCGCAAAACTATCATCATTGATACGAAGCATTTGCAAGAGACCCAAGGTGGATATCTGTTGTGCAGATTGGCTCCAAAATATATTGCATTGTTACTTGATACTTACTTTAGGAAAACTCAGACCATGGCAACAGTGACTGCTACACAAGCGTAGTGGACACAAAAACCAGCTCTTAAATTTTCTTTCCACTTCCACCAGAAATAGGCAACAAAAAGCGTTTTTTTTCTTATTTTAAAAACCGCAGTTGCTACACGGTTAATAAGTTATAATAGCTACTTTCTAAATATGAGGGCAAATGAACAAATTCCCTTTGACCTGTAGCCTTAAAAAGGTGATTTAGAAGCTTACATTTAGAGGTCATGAAAAATTTGACAATTCAGGTTTATCTACAGTTTAAACCAGACGTGCTACTTTGTTTAGACACGAGACGCCTCTTAAGGTGTACAGTAACCATAATCCATATAAACATGTTAATCTTGATAAAGGTCAAAAGATAGCAAGTTACACAGCATAAAACAGGATTGCAAACAATGGTCAGTCACAGACGATAGCTGACCAAACTTTGTTCTTGGTTGTGTAGATCCCAACCGGGGCTAAAATTGTGTCTCTCTTTTTTCAAATCATCATTGAATCTCATATACAATAATAAAGGTAAAGTCTGCATACAAGCCAAGGGGTCCATCAGGCTGGCACCTACCTCCAGTTTCTATAGTATGAAGTGACTACTCCCCCCTAGATGGGATGCTGGCTCATCACAAGGTTACTGCCCAGAAATAGATTAACCATTACCTAATATACACCTGGATGGAGAGCAGCACAGTGCGAGTAAAGTGTCTCGCCCAGGAACACAACACAATGCCCCAGTCAACCACCACACACTATAATAAAGGAAATACTAACATTTAAGGTAGAAATTTTTATTACTGCACCTGTAGTAGTCCTACTCCAGAAATCATGGTACAACCAACAAGCAGCAGCCTGCATGAGAAAAAATTCATAGAGGACCATTGAGAAATGTGACAATTACATATAAATATAATGGATTACAATGTGTTGTATGCAACCCTCATGCCTGTGGTGATTTGCAGGATAGTCTAGAAAGAAGAAATTTTTGTCTATGAAGGTGACAAAAATTGTCAAGACACCCGGCAGCAGACAAGTTTTAAACTTGTCTTATGTGCCAACTGAACTTTGATCAAAACAACATGGCACTGAGAGGCACATGTAATACCAGAAGTCTTAGCGAGAATAAGCGGATCAAAGGTAAACAATGAAAAACAACAATGTGAGCCTAAGAATGTGTAAATGGACAATCGTAACAAGAACAATTGAAGGCTTTTGTGCAAAAAGGGCATATATAGCTTTTTGGGCTGATTTTTATTTTTTGCAGGATCGAGATAATTTTTGGCAGACTGACTTGTTTTGACATGAAAAGCATCATTGCATAATTGTTTTTGCTGATTTGTGCTTCGTTTTCGAGAAATAACTTACAGCTGTATGCAAAAGAACTCAGTTTTCCAAGCAGCATCTTTGGAGCGAATCCTTCAAAGGAGGATTTCAACTTGACACAAACTTAAACAGTTACTTTTAGCACCTTCGACAGCGATGTTTTTTTTTGAATAGATGTTTTCATTTTTGAAAGAAGTAGAGAAATAGGCCACAGAAAAAATTGACCGGCCTCGTATCAAACCGGGGTCCCTACAAAACAAACTTGAATCCGGCCCGTTCAGCACCTTATTCGCTTGCGCTAACGAAGCAACAGTAAGAGAATAGCATAATTATATGAACAATAAAACTTGCAGCAAATGCCATGCTTCGGTGACTTCATTAGCAAAACAAAAGGTTTCTTTCGTTTTTCATTCAACAAAAGATCTCCTAAAGATACCCTTGGAAAACTGAGTGTTTTGCATACTGTACATTATTTCTCAAAAACGAAGTGTAAATCAACAAAAACAATTATGCGACGATGCTTTTCATGTCAAAACAAGTCAGTCTGCCAAAAATTAACTCAATCCTGCAAAAGATAAAAATCAGCCCAAAAAGCTATATACACCCTTTTTGCACGAAAACCTTCAATTAGACAATACATGACAATGTGACACTATAAAGAAAGCTTTAAATTCCATGGTAAAATTGTTGGTTTAATGTAGGTTGTTCCAACTGGATATGAATAGCCTCTATTATCTTAAACCTAAAGTATGCAAACATTAACTACGACATTGTTTAGAATACAGCTGTTTTGAGGGAGGTTGTCCTTCATGAGTGTAAAAGCGTACACAACAATACTGAAAGGTGCCATGGGTATCGCTGGTTGATCAAGGCAAGTTTCCTTATCCCATTACCCTTCTCAATGCCTGAGAGCCTTTTCGGTGACAAAGTCAGTTAAAGAAAAATATAAGTTTACCTCTTTGAGCTATGCAAGGAATCTGTTTCAAAACGAAAGAACCACTGTGTCGCCTCAAAGTCTAATCTAATTAATTTGTGGTTTAACTTGCCGTCATAAAGCCTTCAGAAAATCCCTGCTGAAAATTTCCGTTTTTTTCCATTAATGCAAGATATTAAAATGCCAGACTAAAAAAGGGATGTCCAAACATTGATATCAAGTCTGGACGGCCCACTAGCTTGGCTTCTTGTTTGTTTATTCTGACTGTGTGAACAAGTCACTGATTCGTCAGTTTTAATTGAAACTACTTGTGCATGAAAAACACGTGTCAAGTTGCCATTTGAAACTAACAAACAAAAATATCTCATTGCATTTACCTGCGACAAAAACAAATTTCAAAACTCCAGCAGTGTTCTCATTCATAACTAGCCATTGGTAATTTCTTTGGTTTTGACAGAGAAAACCACTTCAAATGAGTATCTTGGCATTGATTCCAAGACATGTTTTAACAAGAAGACAGTATTACTCCGTAATAATAATAATAATAATAATAATAACAATAATAATAATCAACTTTATTTAATGAGGGTAGCACACAACAGTAATAACTGAAAAACCTGCGGTCCTCGTATAAATATTTACCGAATAAAAAAGATGAAGTTTTAAAAATTACAAATGTAGAAACTGATTTTCAAATATGCAACCATTATACTAAAAAAACTGAGATATAAGATACACTAAAATATTAAAAAGTGAAGCATTGGATCAAGTCTAACAATTCAAACAAGAAAATTGAAAAATTAAAAATTTACATGATAAAATGGTCCAATTCCTTATAACTGTCCATAAAATGTATAAAAATGGATGTTTGAAGCTGTTAAGGTTAGGTTGGTTTTTGATATGGGCAGGCATCATGTTCAAGAGGCAGCTAGTCGATACTGAGAAACACCTTCCACCCTCAGACTCCTGTTTGAATTGCAGGCAGTCAAGGTTTAATTGACCATGTCTGCTCGTTCTTCGATCCACGTCTGCATTTCTAATAAGCATCAGGGTAAGATAAGATGGGCACTCCCCTAAAATCCATTTACATACCAATATTGACTTATTTATTTTCACTTTATGGTAAAATGGAACCCAACCTAATTGTTTAAAAAGTTTCACACTGTGCACTTTTGTGTTGGCATCCAGTATTACACGGGCTGCGCGTTTCTGTAGCCTGAACACTTTCTGAATGTTTTCTACAGAGCAGGATGTCCACACAGTTTAGGCATACAGCGTTGTCTGCTTAATCATTGCGTTATAATAAAGTTTCCTTTGATCAAGAAGCAGTGAGCATCTAATTTTCCACAACACAGCGATTCTCTGTGCTAACTTCTTACATAGGTCATCCATGTGTTGGTCAAATGAACGCTGGCTGACGATCGTCACCCCGCACAGTTTGTGAAACCAGACTTGAGATGGTGAAACAGATCATTCTCCTTAAGGAAACTGCACAAGTGTTCACATATGTGTTTCTGTAGTATTTTAGAGATAACAGGAAGCACAGAAATTGGTCTGTAGTTGTTCTTATCATATCACGTAAACAACGCTACTTAATTGAGACTTTCATTCACAAACTGAAAAATTTTGCGCAAACATAAATGGTTTTGACTGGATTCTTTTTTTCGTGAACTGCACGTAATACAAATGACATTGAGGGGAACTGAACTGCCAAATACCATCAGGGACAAAAGCCCCCTTGCCATCACAAAAGTGTATTTCATGCACTAAAAACAATCATTCCTGTGACTGAACTAGAGAAAGGTAACAGATTAGGAACTAAAGTTGCAATTACTGCTGACCCAGCACACACTGGATACATCGTGACAACTATCATCGAAAGGCAATGCAACCCCAGCAAACACTGGCAAACCACAAAGTACGCCAATAAACACTAACGCCGAGGCAACCACTGAGCAGCTTGCTCCTAATCTTAACTAAGTTAACCCACTGATGGCTGTGCCAGCCATAACTGGCCACCATGAGCATTGGCCTTTGTTCCACTTCTGATGTCATCACCTTCGACAAAAATTGACATCACTTGTATTCATGTTTTGCAGGACAAAAAGATCTTTCCAAAGATACTCAGATTAGAAAGATTGGGTCAATTTAGCCTGAAATATGCACAAAAATGCATGGAAATTTGAGTGAAAAACTCGGAGCAAAATTTACCTCAACTACACTTGGCTACTCCGTGGTATGAATTTCTTGTCTCAATGATGTTTTCGCAGGAATTCTTGAACTGGAAGCATGCCTAAACTTGCCACAAGTCAACCTCATGAATTTCAGGGTAGAATAGCTAAGTGAGCTGCAAGGTTTTACGCCGAAAAGTGGCATCGTGAAGTTCCCGAAGTGATCAATCGAACGAGCAACAAAGTCGTGAGTTTGTCACAAGAGGTCAACTTGTTTTGCTTGAAGGGTTTTTGTTTGCATTTCACGCAAAAAATTGAGGACTAGCGGGACTTGCAACTGGTGTCTCAGCTTACCTTTGCAAGTCCTTGACTTGAATTGAGGAACGTATCGATACATTTTTTAACTAAAATGCTCTGCAATTGTTGTTCTGAACAATCTCCTAAGTAAGACACTGAAATGCCACAGGAATTTAGGTTCAAGACCTGATCTTTCATAAGCGAAAACAGCGGAACCACTTGTACCAAGACGATGGGATTACTATTGCAGCTATTTAGACAATCAAAAACATGCTAAGTTAGCTCTAATATCAAGCTTTTCCTAGCTCCGGTTGGGACAGGAAAAAACACATCTCCTTTGGACAGACACGTTTCCACTGTCTTGTACTGGTAGTTGCACAATATAGAATATTCTGTGGCCTTTGAGGCTTCTTAATTGCTTTCGCAATCGACCACAATAAATCAAAGTGTTCTATGAGCAAACCGGTGAGTTTCCCAGTGAATGATGACTGACACGGGCTAACCTTGGCATAATATGGAATTACGTTTTTCATTAAATACATGACAACTTCAACTTCATGCCCCTTTAAGAGTGTAACCCAGATTCTGGGGTCATTGAGTATGCATAATATTCATGCTATTGTTCTTACTCATCACCTATTCGTAACGATGTTCTGCCGACAACACAGCGTGTTTCTGAAGACCAAACTCTCCAATGTAAGTGAAACATTTTTCTTTTATTAAAAGAGAAGAAATACAACCCAGGGGACTAACATTATGCCTGATTGATTACTTTTAAAGTCATAGCACGATACACATGATTTCTAAGCTTCATGCAATGATTGTTTATCCTAAATTAAAAACTTAGCAAGTTAACGTCACGATTGTCGCAATTTCCACTTTTAAAATATGTGCAAGGTTATATCATGGTTGCATGGAGGAAAATAATAGAGCTCCCCAAGTTAAAACATAAACCAATCAAGGATTTTTTCATTCGAAGTTTCTTAATTGGGCAAAGAAAGAAAAGCACATCAAATAACTTTTGTAAATTGTATTCTGGGAGGATTAGATAACATGAAACCCAACAATGCGTCAAATAAAACTTGGCGGCGGCTCTGATGTTGAATGCTCAGTCGGCTTGTAAAAGA